AAACATTTTTATTTCGTTTATTTTATTCATGATTATTAATTATTAAGTTCTGGAGTTAATATGTAAGTTAATTATTTATCGCAAATAAGTCATGACAATAAAAATTATACTGTTATAACAGTATTGTATTTATGTATATATTAATTCTAATCATGTTTCTTATTTTTGTATTATTATTATTACATTTAAGTTCAATAAATCAATAACAAAATTATAAACATTTTTCAATACGTGATATTTTTGTATCTTTAGTTATTTAACTTATTAAATCATTTTATAATTTTCATAAATTTTCATAAATAGTATTTATATTATATATGATTAAAAGTATTTAAATCTTTATAATATTTTTAGATGCTGTTATTTTGTCAGCGTGTATATAAATTTTTTATTTATATATCTGTTTTTAATAATATAATTTTTAAAAATTTATTAGATATTTATATTTAATTGAATTATAATTACTTTATATGAGTTATTGGTGCTATAAAAACTTAATTTTAAAAATATTTATTTGATACATTGAAAATAATTAAAATTATAGTATTATTTTTATTATTTCATTTTAATAATTAAAACTTATTATTCTTTCAATTAACCATATTAATAATTAAATAATTAAATTTATATGAAAATAATGAGAAAACTACGTCATGTGAACACATTTTATCATTTTGTATAAATTTTAATATTTTATATATTTTAAAAAATTAAAAAATATTAAATACAAAAATGTAGTAAAAATAATAAAGTTGTAGTTTTTCTTTATAAAAGTAATAATTAGTTTATTTTTTAGTGGCTACTAAATCAATTTTTAAATATTTTTAAATAGTACAAATTTATAATTTTTTTATATATTGTTTTATTTTTGAAAATAAAAATTATTATTTAATAATTATAAACATTAATTTAATTTATTATTTAATACCAATTAAATTTTTTAAATTTATTCAATAATTTTATTTCATAAGAAATAAATTGCTTTTAATTTAGTATAGCTTCAGGCTGTTTAAAAAAATTGAATTTGAATTTCATTTACTTATATGTAAAAAGAATAAACTTGTTCAATTCGAAATCATTAATAATTAATACATTTCCGAAATTGCCGATGTCATATCAATAATAAATTAAGTTAATTTTTAATTAAACAATTGATATATAATTATTTTTTATTTATATTTAGAGTTTGACATGAATATATAAACGAAAGAGTTTTAAGCAATAAAAAGCAACATTAAAAACAAATCTTCTATATTGTCTTTAAAAGAAAAAGATAATGAAAATCTAGTATATCTAGTATATATCTAGTATATATTTAGTATATCTTCAGGCTGTTTAAACAATTGAATTTGAATTTCATTTACTTATATGTAAAAAGAATAAACTTGTTCAATTCGAAATCATTAATAATTATTACATTTCCGAAATTGCCGATGTCATATCAATAATAAATTAAGTTAATTTTTAATTAAACAATTGATATATAATTATTTTTTATTTATATTTAGAGTTTGACATGAATATATAAACGAAAGAATTTTAAGCAACAAAAAGCAACGTTAAAAACAAATCTTCTATATTGTCTTTAAAAGAAAAAGATAATGAAAATCTAGTAAATTTAAAAAAAAATTGATCTGTGTAAATAGTTTACTAATTATTTTTTAATTCAATATATTATAATTATTGCTGTTTTTAATATAATTTTAGTTAATTTTTATTTCTAATAATAATTATAATTTAATTAAAATATAAAAATATTATACATGTAACATTTTATTATAGATTCTTGAATCCTGTCTAATCACTATAAGAATTTGAATATAAAAATTCATTTTATTAACTTATTAGACTGTATTCTTTAAAGTATATACATGAGTATATTACAGTTATTGATAAAGACTGATAAAGATGTTTTGATATTAATTATTTAGAAAATATATTATATAATTAACAAACGGTGTTAATAATTAAAACTATATTTATAAGAATATATATATAAGAATGAATAAAAATTGTGCGAAATACTATAAAAATAATGAAATTATTGAATTCAATAAAATAATTGTCTGTTGTTTTTATGTCATAAAATAAGAATGAAAGAACTAATGGATTTTTTTTTATATTTCTTTTTATCTTTTTATCTAAAATTCAATTGAAATAATTATTCAATTAAGAATTTTTACTTCATAATTTTTAAAGATAATAAAAATATTACACTAAATATATCAAAAAAATATCGTCACATTAAAAAAAAGTGATTTGTATATAATTTTTGGTAAACAATATATCAATAGTAAAATATTTGTAATCTTTTTAAAAATAATTAATTTTATTTTCATATTTAAACGATAATTTTAATGAATTGGGTTGGTTTGAAAAATATATTTAAAAATGAACAAAATATTTTATACTTTATTAATAAAATTAAATGAATTTATAATTTTAAACTATAATTAATACATGATTCATAATAGAAATATAAAGAAATTTTACTCTTGATTTGTATTATAAGGTTTTTATATTCAAACAGATTTTATAATAAGTGCTCTTTAGTTTAAAAATAATGAAAATCTTGTTTTTTACTGGATAAATTATTATTTGGAGATAAGTTTCGATAAGTTGTAAATATGGTTAATATTCAATTTATTAATATGACAAATTTAATAATAAAATCTAATAAAGAAGTTTAATAAATTTGTAAATAAATACTTTATAGTATAATTTATTTTAATGAATACGTAGATAAGTATTTTAAATAAGATAAAAGTACGAACATTTTAATTTTTAAATAATTTTTAACACACTTCTTGTATATATTATTTATTATATAATAAATATAAGAATATAAAATAATATAACTTATTTCTTTTATTTCATTTTATTAATAAATAATAGAGGATGAAGAAAATTAATTGTTTGTTTTATTATAAACTAAAAATTTAAGACAATTGTAAAATATTTTATAGAAAATAATTGAAATAAAATTAAATAGAATTCAAATTATAAAGAATTTTGATTTCTTTAGTTAAGTATTCTTTATTAATAATGTAATATATGTATATTTTATAATATATTCGAGTATTTGAATATTAGTATGCGTTTCACATATATTAATTTTATGAAATTATAACAATTTTTGAAATTTTTAGACGACAAAAAAAAACTGCATACATTAAGGATATGTTTTCAATATAAGTATTTAAATAAATTTATATTTTAATTTGAAAAGTCTTAACAACACAAATGAAGTATATAAAATATTTTATAAATTTTTTAAACAATATCTCAAATCAAATTATAATTGTTTTGATTTTAATATTTTATAGAAACTCAATACATATTATTTATTCTTATTTAATTTATATATAAAAATACACATAAAATCAAATAGTTTAATCTACAAATTATGACCACATTTACAAAAAATTAACAATGAATTATTAATACTTACAAAATAAAAAATATGAGACGGAAATATGGAAATATTTACATAGAAATATAAATTAAGTTTTTATAAATTAATAAAAAACAAAAATAAAAAATTGATCAATTAATGGAATTAAATAAACACAGAAATTAAGAATTTAAAAATTCTAATTTCCAGATAAATAAGATAAAACACTCATTGTACTATTATATAGAAACTAATTAGAAGTTTTTTATATATATCTAGGTTTGCATTATATTTGCTTTATATTGTGTAAATGTTACTCATACGCAGCGTAACACATATTAATATTAATCACGACAAAACTATCACTTTGATGAATGAAAATAAATTGAATTTTAAATTAACTTCAGCAAGTCTTACATAGAACTTTTTCAGTTTAATACTCAGTGATGACAACTATTTTATACTGTACTTATAAGATATTACATAAATAACATTAAACTATATGAATAAAATTTTATAATTCCCAGAAAAAAAAAGTTTTGCTTTTATAAATAAAAATTAAAAGAAGTGCAATAATTAATACTTAATAATAAAATATCGGTTAATAATATATCTTAATAATATATTACGTTAATATATCTTAATAAAATACATATAATATTTTAATATATGATAAATGTGTTTAATAATTTCTTTAACTTATATTTGTTAATAGTTTTTGGACTAAAAATATAAATTATTTTTAGACCCTAATAATTTTGACGATTAAACAAAAAATTGATTATTGTTAGAGATATACTTTAAGTATTCGCAGACAATTAGAATCATAAATAAATACTTTGATTTGGAGAAATTAGTCTTAAGCTTTAGTTCTACGATTTAAAATGCTATAGTAAAAATAGACCTCTTTGAATTTATTATTGGATCTTAATTTTGGCTACGGTGAAAATAAATATTTTTTGATAGTAGAACGACAAAAAATAGCTGAAAGTTATTTAATGACCTGCCACACAAACTAACCAAACAACTAAAACTATGTATAAGGATGATTAGTGTCTTATCCACGTCAGAGTTTAGAAAATCCTCAATTGGAGGCATTTTTTCTAAAACGTTTAATAAGTTATGTTCATTTAGACTCAGTTGGGAACACAAAAAATCTATTACATCTGCGAAGAGATAAGGAAGTGAAACTGTGTGTGTTTTGTAATTATTATTTTTATATTTTAATTTAATTTTTTTTTTACATTTTGTTATTGTTATTATTTTATTTAGTAATATAACATATTAAAAAACTACGTTTTATATTAGAGAAAGATGTAAATTTTTGCGTATAGTTAAGAAAATAAAATTGGTTGGTTGCGGTTACGTATAGATCTGACCTATGCTAGTCTCTAGCCATACCAATTGAGGGTCTCTAAAACTAACTATGCTTATAAGAAAATTGTTAACAAATGTAAGTTGAGAAAAAATGTTATAATTTGAAATTGCATCAAAATAAATAAGCAATTTTAACAAATTTTGAGATGTTTTGAAAAATATTTATTACATTATATGAAAAAATATTGAATATTATATAGAAAATTAAGGAATATTGAAAAGCACCTACAGGACAGTTTACAGATGTTATTTATCCATAGTTTTATTTATTTTTGATATTGAGTACGTCGTTTTATAGCTTTTACGGAACTCACACAATGATATTAATGATATTAATGAATTAATTGAAAATATAGATTTTATCATTGTCGTCGTCGCCGCGTTCACATAACAAAATTGTTAATATTTTTTTTTTTTGTACTAAACTAAAAACTTAAATAATTACACACTCAAGTCATTAAATCATTTATTAATAAATTTAGTTTATTATCAATTTTTATTTTAAAAACTTTTTGATAGTTTTATAGTATTTTAATATAGAAAACGTATACGTAAGACATAACGTCACAAATTTACCAGAACGACACTAATAAACACTTAGGATTTTTTTAAAGTATACCTCCGTTTATTTTACATATAAAGAAGACTTATATGTATGCATATATATATTTTTTTTTTTGATTTAATTTAATTTATAATTTTGAGAAAAATTTTTATTTTTTTTTTAGTTTTAGTTTTAGAAAATTCTTAAAACACAAAAATTTTGAAATTTGAAAAAGTTTCAACGACGGCGACGACGACGACGACGACGTTAGAAAATTTTGAACGTCTTAAAATTAACGTCGACTTATTAACAATAAGCGACGCGTTTGTTATGCTCAGCACTTTACGTTTTGATTTATTTTGTTTTATTTTGCACGTAAATTTTTATTTTTATTGTGTGTTTTGAATTTATTTTAAATTAACAGTTATCACTGTTGGTGGTTGCGCAAAAAAAGAACAACAAAATATATGCAAAGTATATGTGTAATTAAATAATTTGTTGAAAATCGCGCGCGTTCTCACTTCAACCAATTACAATATTATATTTAATTGATGTTGTTGCTATTGCTGGTGTTGTTCTTATTGCTGGTGTTGGTTTTGTGTTTCGTTTGTCAGGCTTATTATATTAATTATAATGATTGCTTTTACTATTGTTGTTGTTGTGTTTTGTTGGCGCGATTGTGTTTATAGGATGTTTATTATAATATGCGTTAAGTGTGTGTTTGTGTATGCTTGCGCTGTTATATTTCTATTTCATTTTCACGCAATTAAATATTAAAAAATTATTTTATATGTGCACACACACGCACACACGCTGGTATGCACACAAGCACTTATGCACATTTACAAAAGCATTAGAAACAGTTGCAGTTGTCGTTGCGATTGCGATTGCTGCTGTTGTCGTTGTTGTTGTTATTGTTATTGTTACACATGCATTTTATAATATATATTTTATATTATATATTACTAATTTATATATATATAAATATTTATATATATAAATTTAATACATATAAAAGCAGCGCACACAATTTTTTGTTTTGATTATTTTCGTAATATTTATTTTGCTTGCTGCACGATTTTCTTTTTAGATATAATATATATATATATAAATATATATGTATACATATATTTATATATGTAATGTAATATTTTAAAATTTGTTTTTGTATATTTTTGCATTTAATTCTTTTTATTATATATATATAATTTTTTTGTTTTTGGAAGAAAATGTCCAACACCGTTAGAGACTTATACGTTTGTATGTGCTTTACCGAGAGAATATAAAAAAGCAATGTTGTACTCAAAAGACGTCCAAAAGCCGTATGCCAACCTATTCCGGGACGATAGATGCGTTCGGCGTTTTCATCGTCGTCGTAATCAACAACATCATCCAAAAATACAGGACCAACAAAAAAAAAAAAAGAAATGGAAAAAATGTACACAAAATATCAACGTCGTCGCGTAATATTCCTTTTTTTTACTTTTACTGTTTGATACGCGCGCGAAAAGATCCCCTTCGCAAAATCATACATATATGTTCACTGTTATATTCTATATAGTTTCTATTTAACTGTTGGCAAAGAACCAATACCAACAACAACAACAACAATTCGTAACACAACAACAAGAAAACAAACTGTACACGTAAGAGTTACGAGCATACCAACCCAACAACAACAACAACCAACTAATATGCTAAACTAACAAATGCAACGTAACGTAAGGAATTGGCAAAAGCAGCACTGCACTTCTTTTTGTTGGTATTCGTGTGGTTGTTGTTGCTGTTGCTGTTATGCATGCGATAGAGTACATAAATGCCTATACCCATTACGTGTACGTATAATACGAACTAAAACGCACGGTCTGTTAAGGCAACCAAACTAACCAACCTCCCGACCGACCAGCCGATGCTTCAACCAACCGACAAACCGTGCACACTTCCTACTAAAACCAAGCAGCGTAACTTTTATGCGTAGTGCCAACGAAAAAAAATTCCTACTTTCTGAAGAAAATGACCATATCACGAAAAATGCAACGACAACGGCAACGGCAACGGCCACTGCAACAAAAACAAAGAATAGCAGCAAACAACATAACAACAAAATGTACGCCAACATAGCGTGGTAAGCTACTCGTACTTTCTCTGAAACAGAAACCAAACAAAAAAGAAACAACAACAGAAATAACAAAAAAAAAAATAAAAAAGAAAATCTATTACATAGACTTTTTGCATTAATCTCATGCCCAACACATCAACGCATACAGCGACAGCAAAAGCAAAAGCAACAGCAATAACGTCATTATGATCAATATGCAATACAACAACAACAACAACAACAACAACAACAACAAGTACAACAAGAGCCTATGTTAAGCAGCAGCAGCATCACCCAAGCAGGTTTACTTCTATGCTCTACGCCATGGCCAGCATATGTGCTCATCATGAAGTTTATACTGAACTTCATAGCGCATTTTGCTTATCGACAGTGTACGTATTCGCGTGTATTCGCATGTGTTCACATGTATTGAAGGCATAGTTGTTGCATGGCGAAAAAAGGAATGGACAGTTGGTAGTTGGTGCACATATAAACAGCAACAGAACAACTGTTCTCTACGTTACTGGTACGACGTTGGTAGTTACTTTTGGTTTCGTGGCACATTGCATATCAAAAATTTCTTAAGCCAAATCAATGCAGAAACCCTAAAATAAAAAGCAATAGATGAATGCACTTGCAACGGTGCAGAGCAAGAACTCCCTCTGGCGTTGTATAGACAGAGCAACATCTGCATGCATGCTCCCCACTTCCCTGCCCACAGCGACAAATTCAACTTTCATATATATAGGTACAGAAGCATGTCCCCTATTTCTTTTAAGTAGGCCTTCTAAAATATGCCAAAAAGAGACAAAATGTAAAAAAACGAAAAAGCGCATGCATAAGTGCGTGTGTATTGTGCTCAATACCAACTACAAAAACAACTACAACAATTTGTATGCACTTATGCGTGTATGCACAACTGACCGGCTTGTATAGCGTGCATTTAGGTGCATCATAATATGCTTTTGCATTGCCAATGCAACTATCAAACGGCATTGTCATCTACCAAATTCGTACACCTTTCCGGCTACTACATTTCAGCGTTCACTGCTCAATGCTTTCGGTTTTAATATATTTGGTTGGTTTTGCCTTTTTGCTTATCTAAGCTGCTGTAGTTGTTGTATTGCATTGTTATGTGCACGCATACTTGCATATGCAGGTCTGAATATACAAGCCATGCATATGTATTGCAAAACACAATTTCGTTTACTTTGCTTTTTTTATTGGTTTTGGTTGCCCCTTTTCAGGAGCAACGCTCGCAGTGCGCATGTCGGCGTACTGTAGTTGCATTTGGTTTTTTGCATTTTGTTTCGCATGCTTGCATTAGCTACGTTGTATGTAGAAAAGAAAAAAAGACAACGACTACAACTAAACTAATGCACACTACCACCAATGCACACAACTGCATTGGTGGTTTATGCTTTTGAGTTCATTGCAAATTTTGCGGAAACATAATTTTAGTCTCTGTTGCATGTTGCATGTGCGGAGTACTTTGAAGCGTATGGAAGGCATTGATTTTCAGTATATTTATAAAATATTTTCGAATATCGATGATATTTTAACAATATTTATTATGACGATTTGATCATTCAACAAATATCTTTTCAATCACTTATAGAGAAAAATATGTTTCTACTGTTATTATATATATTTAATTTTTTTTTAAATTGTTTATTTCAAAATATTTATTACATATCATATTTCACATCTGAGATACGTATATATATATATATATATATACATTAAACAAAATTGCATTGTAATATTATGTAAGTCTTGGTTAATTTAACAACTATTGTTTATACAGATAACCTCTATTAAAGCCTTAAAATTATTTTTTAAGTGAAAAACAATACTTAACAACACAACACTGCTTAACATAATAAGAAATTAATTAGAAATTATTAGTTGTTTTTCTTAGAATCACATCTCAATGATGATCAAAACTTCTTTTCAAAATATCTCTTAAACCTCATGATCAATCACCATCCTTCCATAGATTAATGTATTTATTATTGAAAGATCAATCCATTGTTTATAATATCAATCCATCATCTCTTTGATGAAACTCTTTTGCAATCCCTCGACACTTAATGTTTAAATTTTTTATGTTTTTAAGATTTCAGTATGAAATGCCTTGGTTAGGTTAGGCTGGAATAGTGGCCGTGCGCCTAAAGCCAATTTGATCTCTAATAATAACCCGTTGTTCACATGCAGATCAAAAAACTTCAAAAAGGATCGCAGTGGTCAGCGTTCGAGCAATGCTGCAAACATACGACTTCCATATATTCTGATAAGTTTAATGTTAAGAAAATATTGTAGAGATCAGCTTAGGTTCCACAAGTTATTTTAAGAACTTAATTTAAGAAGATTATATTAAGAAAGGTTAAGAAAAAGAAATTTATTATAACGGCATTAAAGTCGTTAAGTAAAGTAAAGTAAAAACACCAATTTTTGAATATATTCATCACTTTTTCATTAATAGATACTTTCTTCCTAAATCACTTCGACAGAAAAGCATTCTTAAAAATTTTCCGATCAGAATATTATTAGTTATATTTCATATTATTTATGATAATATATAGAATTTTAATAGATTTAGAAACCAATCCTAAATATAGTAGGAGCAATGATTAAACAGTTCATCTAAAAGTAGAAGCAATTCTTTCTCCAATTCAATAGAAAACTAACTTTATACATGTTTTTTACAGTTTTCCGACAGTTATACTCTTTA